TGTTAAGAAGAATCTGAGAGTACATTCTCCAGTCCCCCCATTAAATCCTATTTTGAGTGTAGGGGGAGTTTTTCCAGCTGAATACTACTGTACTGTTCGAAACTTCGTTTCCAACACTCAGTTTCTTCCCACGTAGGTGATGTTTTTACACAAACCTTGCCTGTCTTCATTAATTCCACCATCCCCTAAAATGTACTCTTGTCTTACAGTCTGCGAAGGGACAGCAACAACAACAGCCACAATACAACAGAGCAATCATGAATGCCATTTTAATAGAATAGGCTCTGAGTCCCTAACTCACTGCCCAGTCTGTCTCATTGCTCGCTCCTTCGCCTGCTTTATGGGTCTGGCTGAGTGGTTCCACTGCTGTTTGACTTCTGTACAGTTCAATTTTCTGTGCTTTGATTGCATTTTTATTACTAAAGCTTCGTTGTATTTAAACTTGGTTGTGTGAGGAGGCACCGTGTTTCCTCCTACCTCTCCATCTTGGCCGGAAGTCCAAGACTGGCTGCTTTCTTTAACCACAAAGTGGAGACTCTGCCTCAGGCCTCACTAGGGATGGGAGGAGGTGTGAGACATGCCCTGCACAGTCAGCTGGCCATAGTTGCAGTAGAGGAGTCTGGGCTGCAGCTCTGACTCAGTGTGGATACACCACATCTTTTTCAATCAATCGATACATGAACATGTATATGTTTTTGTATGATTGAGTGTATGCCTTAAGGGTAATTTTCAAAAGTGGAATACTGTGTCACTGGTAATTGAATACTTAGTCTTGTTGAATGTGGCCAAGTTTAAGTGAATATTTTGAAAATGTTTGCAACAATGTTCTTAAGTGATATGGGAAATAAGTAATGTTCTTAAGCAATAGAGTAATAAATTGATTTTCAGCTACTTTAAATTAGCGTATATTATGTTATGCTTGTTTTTTTCAAGCCCCACAGATGGTTTATATTACTGAAAAATGTATATGCCCTTTTTTCTTTAATTATTTTTCAAGTGCAGTTTTTTGCCTTTTATTTCCACCCCAGCCCACCCCCTGTGCTCCCCACCTCTCTCCCATTTCCACGCTCCTTAGCTGTTGTCCATGTGTCCTTTATACTAGTTCCTCTAAATCCCTCACCCTTTCCCCTTGTTATGCTTGCTTTATTAACAATTTTGGATGTTTTTGTCCTTGTCGTTGCGGTTCATTGGATTCAGTGACGGTCAGTGACCCTGAGGGACGTGGATTTGATTCCCAGTCAGGGCACATGTCTCAGTTGCAGATCAGTCTCCAGTGCGGGCCTTATGAGAGCCAGCCACAAATGGATGACTCCCTTTCCTCTCCCTCCCTTCCCTTCTCTCTAAAGATAAATAAATAAGGCCTTTGAAATTCTCTTGGAAGTTTTGGTTCACTTTGCATGCTCTGGATAATTTGTGTGATGAAATCAGAACATTTGCAGTCCTAAGAGTATAATGTAACCAGTGCTCTAGGTACTCCTTTGCCAGCTTCAGCAATATCAACACACGGCCAGTCTTTTCTCATCTGTCATCCTCAGACCTCAAGTTATTGTGAGGCACACAAAATAACAATGTTTATCATTTTATGTACCTTTAAAGGTTGAAGCTCTTAATTACAAACATAACTGAAACACCTCAAGGACACAGGCAGTCCCAATTCCAAGACGACCTCCTGGATTCCTGAGTCCTGGTGCACAAACAACTTCTTGCACTTAATTCATCAGACACTAATCTGGATGGTGCTATGAGGGGTTTGGCAGATATAATGGAGGTCTGATATCTGTTATTCTTAAAATAGGAAGATTATCATCCATGACCCAGACCTAATAAAGTGAACTCTTAAATCAGATGGAACTTTTCTTGGTGAGGGAAACCCAAAGGGTGAGAGGGAGGTTCTCCTGCCTAGCTTTGAAGATGGAAGGTGTTGCATAGCATAGCAAAGCCCTAAGAGAGACCTGAGCATCATCTGTAGCCCGTAGCATGCACAAAATGGGAACCTTAGTGCTTCAATTCCTGGTAACTGAATTCTGCTCCCACCAAAATGCATGGATTGGAAGGAGGTCCTGAGCTCCACATGAGAAGAAAGCCACCAGGAACAATGATGGCAGAGTCATAAGTCTTCTGAACTAGGAATCCCAGGGACTCCACTCCCAATTGCTGACTTTGGAATTGTGGGGTACTAAATGTATGTGGGTAGAATGTATGAAATCCTGGCATTTTGTCAAAAGTGAAGTATTTTAACATAGGCACTGAAAAAATTACCTACACTTTTCTTTTTTCCCTCTTTTAAAAAGATTTTATTTATATATAAAGACAGGAAGGGAAGGAGAAAGAGAGAAAGAGAAACAAACATCAATGTGTGGTTGCCTCCCCAGCACACCCAACTGGGATCCTGGCATGCAAACCAGGCCTGTGCCCTGGCTGGGAGTGAAACCCTCAACATTTTGGTTCACAGTCTGAAGCTCATTCCCCTGAACTACAGCAGCCACAGCTTTTTATTTCCTTGCATATAATTAGGTCATTTAGATATACTGTCTTGGCTATATTCACATCTAATACACTAGCGATAACTACTAGTAATCATCCTGTACATTGCATCCTCAGGGGCTATTAATTTTGTAATATAAAGTTTGCATCTTTGGCCACCATCACCAATTTCAACCACATTCCACCACCACCACCCAGTGGGGAAACATCAATATCTTCAATGTGTGAGTTACTTTATCAGTGTGTGTTTCAAAGATTCCTCCCATAAGGGATACTACACAGTATTTGTCTCTGTCTTTTCAAAAGTTTTAATGAAGGAGCACCATTTGAAATTTACCCCTTCTTTCACCTAGCACGTGCTGTCCCCAATACCCGGGACTCATTCTCTTTTACCACTGATTGATGTATCTCTTTCCCTGAGCGGGTGAGTGTGTGTGTGTGGGAGTATCACCTTGCCTTCCCACATTCATTCATTAATGGTTACTGAGGTCGTTTCCATGTGGTGACTACTGTGCATACTGTGTTAGTGGACATGGGGGTACTTCCATCTCTTCACCTTAGGGATTCCGTTTACCTAAGTACTCCATGGTGGAATGGCTGCAGAGTATTGTAGTTTAATTTTTTTAAAATTATATTTTATTGATTATGCCATTATAGTTGTCTTATTTCTCCCCTTCATTCCCCTTTGCCCTGCACACCCCTCCACCACCATTCTCCCCCTTTTGTTTATGTCCATGTGTCTCAAATTCTTTAGATTCAGGATTTCCCATACTATTCTTTCCCTCTCCCCTGTATATTTTCTACCTACCATCTATGCTAGACAGTGAAAGGACAGCAAACTCAGTTATTAACAAGCACACCTAAAACCAATGCAAACTAAGAGGACAGCTAGATGAGGAGGAGAACCATAGAAATGAAGATCACATGGAGATGGTACAGAGAATTGTAGTTCAATTTTATCTTTTTGCGGGATCTCTCTGTGGTCTCTTCCCTATTGGCTTTATCAATACACCTTCCCCTAAACTCCTTCATTTTTGAATAATGTAAAGATATCCAGGTATGTAACTTTTAAAGTTAAGAAAGGAAACCCTGAATGGAGTAAGGCAAACCCGTAATTGACCAACTCTTACATTTCTTCTACCGCTCTATGTTCTCATCAGATCTCTTTTTGTTTGAGTTTTTTCCCATTACCAAACATATCCCGAATGGGATGCCGTGATGTCTTCTTTAGGATCACTGAAGTGATTTAAGGATTTTCCATGTGCATTTCAACACACAAAACTCTCACTCCTTAACCTGATATAGACAAGAAATATGTGATCCCTGTCATATGCTTATATTCTTAACTTAAATTGACTCTCTATTGATAGAACACTACTTGGAAATTACCTCAAAACAGGAGCCAGCACAATGTCTGTGCACATAAGGAACACTGGTCAACAGGCATTTCCAACCACGACTTGAAGACTCCACCTCAGACTTCACTTAGGGTGACACAACTGACTGGGTGTTGCCTTAGATCACGCATTGTCCTCACAATGGGACTAAATTCTGCTTAGCAATGGAAGTTAGGTGACATGCTATCTCCACACCCTTTAGTCTCTGTACTTGTTTCATACGAAGAAGAGTGTATATTGCCCTCTTTTGCGACAGCATGTATGTTTTATATTGGCACGGGCAAGGGCAGGGTCTTCTTTGGCCAAACATCCCCAATGGAAATGTGAAGAATTTGTAAGAGCTGATGCCCCGTTAATGACTCTGTGAAATAAAAACCATGAACCAAGAGGCTTGATTTACTGATTTATATTTTCAAACAGTCTTGAAAAGCATAAGCAAATCCAGGTACCTGGCTTCACAATTTACACAATGAAAGAACACCTGTCGTGAAGCAAAAAAGTAGTGGCCAATTTTATATATGTACATCTTCTTTATCCATTTGTTGACAGATGGACACACGTCTCGGCTGTTATAGATTATGCTTGGTAAAGCATAAGCAATACAGCAAATAACACTGCAATAAGTACATACGATTCATATGGGTCCTAAACTTATGGCGATGAATACTTTGTGTAATCAATATGTTCTCCACATGAAACTAATATATCATATGTCAACTGTCATCAAAATTTTAACTTGCCAATTTTCTTCACCTACCTATTCATATATATATTTATCTATCTACTGCTCCCAACAATTTTAGTGTAAACTTATTTCACATCTCAAAAGATAGTCCTATCCTAAGGCCACATTAACTTGTTCTGGATCACAAAAGTAATTAAGGATTGCTAAGTTTTATTTTTTAAAAAAAGCACTTATACCTAATTCATAAATGCCTTTAAAGTGTGAACCCTGTCTTCATAAACTTAAATCCTGAATCTAAGTAAATAGTCTACCTAAAAGAACACCGTTTAAAAATCCAAAAACCACCCTGAAATATAAGCTAACAAAATATTTTATGTACTAAGAAACTGCTTAACAGGGCTTTCCAACCAAAAATTGAACACTCCACCGGGGTGTCACTCAGGGGGAGAGCAGTGACTGGATGTGGCTCTGGGGTGCCCACTGGTCTTGGAAGGACTGCTAGGTCTGGGTGCAGCTTGGAATCTCTCATCCTCATCTTTCAAAGCCTCTTCATAATAACCTGTGAAAGCTGTGGGTTCACTATCATTGAGCTTGGCCAAAAACTGTAAAACCTTCATCTTGCCGCTCTCAGTGTGGGCTCTTGGACCCCAAAGGAACTCATAGGATGGAGGATCACTGTTTCCTACCTGCTGGTACACCAGGTATTCTTCCTGCACCAAATCTTGGGTGATAAGCTTCCTAGGCTCTCCAAAAATGAAGTGACTCTTTCCATCATAGATGCCCAAATTATTCAGGAATCCCCATATCTCCTCCTCAGAGGCACAGTTGTCATTCAGGAAGATCATACTTAGGAGAGGCATCAGAATCCCTTTTATAGGAAATCTCCAGCCTCTGCTCAGATCCCCATAGCTGGTGTCACCCTGACTGTCTACAAGTATGTAATAGTTACCACTGGGCTTGACTTCTTGCAATTCTAGGCCAAAGAACAGATTTATGTGCTCAGAGGCCTTCCTGAGAATCTCAGGGAAGTCCTTCCTGCACCATTTGTGGACTATCTTCAGCATGTCTGCTTTTCTAATGGGCTCCTTCATTTGATACTGATATATCAGGTACTCTACTAACTGTGTAGCCTTCTTATTTAGAAGATCTTTGCCAGGGATCCCAGTGGAAGCTGAAGCCCCAGATGAATGTTTACTTTTACTACCATGGCCCTTGGCTTTTCCAGGGCATCTTTCACTTGAAACACCTGCAGCAGCACTGGTGGTGGCTGGGTCACTCAGAGATGCCTGGAGAGGACCAGCACCAGCAGAGCTGGAGGCAGCATCTGCCAGAACAGAAGAGGAAGAGCAAGTGGCCTCTTCTTCCTCTCCAGTAGCTGCCTGAGCACTCTTAAGACTTTGGGTTTCAGGTCTGTTTTGGCGGCGTTTCTCACGAGCACGGAGCTTACTCTTGTGACCACGAGGCATGATGGCTGTGGCTCAGGACAGCAGACAGGAGTGTAGACCAATGAAGAGGTAGTTTGGGTACCTGGTGGATGGAGAATGACAAGATGTGAACACCTTCAATGGGTAGATTCAACCTTGGCTTTATTACAGGCTGTCTCGAAAGCTTTTTATGGGGTACTACTCTAGAAACTCATGAAGCTCCTTCTCTCCAGGTCAGCCTGTCCCCTAAAAATCCCATAGAGAAACCAAAGAACTTTTAGAGAGAGTCTCAGGCTGCATCCTACCAGCCTTGCCTTGACTCTATTCAGGTGACAGCAGGCAATGTCAGTGTAGCCCCCTTTGTCGAGGCATGCGGGATCCTCTCAGTTCATCTTCCAAATTCTCACGTCAACCATGGCCAGAGCCTGGGCACCTTCCCCCTCTGCTACTCTGAGGCTGACACTGTAATGCTCTCAGGGACCCAGGACATAGAACTGCACATGAGTTTGTCAGTCCATCTATGTATCAGGTAATGCCCAGTGCTGAGAAATTAGTGGGGCCCTCTGTTTCCTGGTTTTATTTGGATCCTCAGTTGTCAGTCAGGATCCTCACCTTGCCTTCTTTTAAGGTCTGGGACTACTCCCCCTTGGGCTGGCTGGTAGTTAGATCTTCCGACTATAGATCTCACCTCTCTCAGACCTTATATAAGGAAGTGGGGGTGTTGCTCCACCTGACAGACCATCCCTGAGATTTTTGGGGCTGATAATAAAGAGTTGAGATGGACACTTTTCATGTCCTGGACACTTTTCATACTTCTCACAGTTAAGAGCCAACCTCCCTGAAACTCAGTAGAAGAAAATGAAGTTGACCTTTTCTGACCAAATATGTTCTCCCAAGGGTGGGGGCTATTGCAAGCAAGTTGAGGTCCCATGGCAAGTGGTTCCACACAGGATTCCAATTCAAGGTCTAAATTTGACTCCGGCTGGGGTCTTGATTTTTCATTCTATTAACCTGGGGCCACTCTCTTCAATTTCCTGTTTCTCTTGAGTGACTATGAAAAGGCCCTCTTGCATGACACCTATCCTTGAGGTATGCTAGCATGGAGAATAGGGAGGATTTTTTGTGTCCCCACTAGTACAGTGTGGCACATTCCCATAGTCCCCAGTTGTCTTTTGGAGATACTTGGCATGACATGAAACCCTGCCACCCATGACAGGAGGTTGCCCCCCCTCGACCTAATCTATCCCCTCCATAAGATGGCCTGGGAAGAAGTGAGTGCAACTCATCATGCTGACATCCCAATCTCCCAGGGCTGAAAAGAGGGCTGAGATTTTAGTTGGCCTCTTACTCTCTGAGACGGTCCCCCATCCGCCTCAGTGTCACAATCCTAAATCCCCTTAGGCACTGGCTCCCCTTCTTTGAATTGGGCTCCCACACCTAAACCAAGGCCCTCATTAACCTGAGACCACCACCAGAAAAAAATGAAGGCCTAGCTCAGCCTGCCAGCTCTGCCCAGGCCGCCTTTGTTGAGTTTGGGAGCTGGCGGCTGCAGCCCTCACCTCCCTTACTTACCGCTAGAGGGGATATTACTTCCGTTTTTATCTGTCTCCTCCTCCTGGTGCCTCCCAGTGCTGAAGGCAGGATTGCTGCTCTTCGCAGCCTGCTTTTCAGGATAGATGTCAACTCTTAACCCCTCAGGCCCTTGTTTTGAAAGCAGTTCTGACCTTTAACCAGACACATCAAGAAAAAAAGAGAGAGGACCAAAAAAATTAAATCAGAAGTGAAAGAGGGGAAATTGTAACTGATACCACAGAAATCCAAAGGATTGTAAGAAAGTACTATGAACAACTATACATCAAGAAATTTGAAAACCTGGGCGAAATGGACAAATTTCTAGAAGCATATGACCTTCCAAAACTGAATCAAGCATCAGAAGGAATGAACAAACTGATAACGGCTAGTGAAATTGAAGTAGTAATAAAAAAACAAAAAAAAACAAAACGCTCCCAGCACACAAAAGCCCTGGACCAGACTGTTTAACAGGAGAATTTTACAAAACATTTAAAGAAGAGCTCATCCCCATCCTTCTCAAACTATTCCAAAAAAATCTAATAAGAGGGAAGACCCCAAACTCTTTTTTATGAATCCAGCACCATGCTAATCCCCAGACCAGACAAAGACACAAAAAAGAAAGAAAGCTACAGGACACTATCAGTGATGAACCTAGATGCTAAAATCCTTAACAAAATATTGGCACACCACATCCAGCAATACATTAAAAAGATTATACACCATGATCGAGTAGGATTCATCCCAGGGATGCACGGATAGTACGTTATTTGCAAATCAATAAACATGATACGTCACATAAAGAAAAGGAAAGACAAAAATCACATGATCATATCAATAGATGGGGGAAAAGCATTTGATAAGGTGCAGCACCCATTTATGATAAAAACACTCAGCAAAGTGGGAGTAGAGGGAGCACCCCTCAACATAATAAAGACCATATATGAGAGACCTACAGCCAACATTCTACTCACTGGGCAAAAACTAAAAGCTTCCCCACTAAGATTAGGAACAAGACAAGGGTGTCCACTTTCACCTCTTCTATTCCACATAGTATTGGCAGTTCTAGCCACAGAAATAAGACAAGAAAAAGAAATAAAAAGCATCCAAATTGGAAAGGAGAGAGTAAAGCTCTCATCGTTTGCAGATGACATGATCCTGAACATAGAAAACTTTATAGACTCCACAAAAAAAGCTACTCAACCTATTAAGTGAATTTGGCAAAACAGTGGGATACAAACTCAATATTCAGACATTGAAGGCATTTTTGTACCCAAACAATGAATATCAGAAAGAGAAGTCAGGAAAAAAAGTCCTATTTGCTATAGCAAGAAGAAAAATAAAGTACCTAGGAATAAACTTAACCGAGGTGGTAAAAGACTAAAGAGGTAAAAGACCTTTACTCAGAAAACTACAGAACACTGAAGAAAGAAATTAAGGAAGACACAAACAAATGGAAGCATATACCATATTCATGGATTGGAAGAATTAACACCATCAAAATGTCCATACTAACCCCCCAAATTTATGGATTCAGTGCAACCCTTATGAAAATACTGATGACATATTTCACAGACATAGAACAAACATTTCAAAAATTTATATGGAACCATAAATGACCCTGAATAGCCTCAGCAATTTTAAGAAAGAAGAACAAAGTAGGAGGAATCACGATACCTGATATCAAACTATATTACAAGTCCATGGTAATCAAAACAGACTGGTACTGGCATAACAACATCACATAGATCAATGGAACAGATTAGAGAACTCAGAAATAGATATTATTTGTTTGTATGGTCAGTTAATATTCAATAAGTGAGGCACAAGCATAAAATGAAGTAAAAATAAACTCCTCAACAAATGGTGTTGGGAGACCTGGACAGCTACATGAAAAAAAATGAAACACGGCCACCAATTTACTCCATATACAAAAACAAACTCAAGATGAATAAAAGACTTAAATGTCAGTCATGACATCTAAAAGTCCTAGGGGAGACATAAGCCGGAAAATTTCATATATTCTATGCAGCAATATTTTCACCAATATGTCCCCTTGAGTGAGGAACATAAAGGAAAGAATAAACAAATAGAACCTCATCAAAATGAAAAGCTTCTGCACAGCTAAAGAAAACAACAGCAAAATGAAAAGGGAACCAGCTGTATGGGAAAACATATTTGCCAATGATACCTTGGACAAGGGTTTGATCTCCAAAATATATAAAGAACTAACAAGACTCCACTTCAGGAAGACAAACAAACCAATTAAAAAGTGGGCAAAGGACTTGAACAGACACTTCTCCAAGGAGGACATAGAGAGGGCCCAAAGACATATGAAAGGGTGCTCAGCATCAGTAGCCATCAGAGAGATGCAAATTAAGACCACAATTGAGATGAACACCTCACACCTGTCAGAATGGTCGTCATGCACAAAAGAGCAAAAAGTGCTGGCGTGGTTGTGGAGAAAAGGGAATCCTAGTGCACTGCTAGTGAAAATGCAGACTGATGCAGCTACTGTGGAAAACAGTATGGAGTTTCCTCAGAAAAGTAAAAATGGAACTGCCTTTTGGCCCAGCAATTCCACTGCTGGGATTATATCCTAAGAACCCTGAAACAGCAATCCAAAAGAGCCTATGCACCCCAGTGTTCATAGCGGCACAATTTATATTAGCCAAGTGCTGGAAGCAACCTAAGTGCCCATCAGTAAACAAGGAGGGCAAAAACCTATGGTACGTTTACACAATGAAATACTACGTGGCAGAGAGAAAGGAGATCCTACCCTTCCAGACAGCATGGATAGAACTGTGGAGCATTATGCTAAGTGAAATAAGCCAGGCGGTGAAAGACAAATACCATGTGATCTCACTTATAAGTGGGACCTAATCAATAAAATCAACAAGTGAGCACCATAGAACCAGAGACATGGTAGTAAAGCACAAACTGACAGTGACCAAAGAGGAAGGGGGGGGGGGATGATCGGGAATGAAGGGGAAGGGTCATCAAGGAACATGGATGTCGTACCCATGGACAAAGACAATGGGATTGGGGGTAGGACTGAATGTGGGAGGTGAGGGTGGGTAGGGTGGGGGAGAGTAATGGGAGAAAATGGGGACAACGGCAGGTGAATAACAATAAATACAACTAAAACTAAGAAGAAAAAGAAAGCCGTTCAGATCTATACATCGTCATCTCTCTGCCGAATCGTGTTCCTCCCGTAAAGCAAGGATGGACTTGAAACTAACACATTCGAGGCCTAATTCAGCCGGCCGGCTTTACTCGAGCCTCTCAGAGACCAAAGGCAGGCCCGGGTCGGGGGTGGGCTCACCTACCCTCTTGGAGAGCTGTGGTTTCCGAAGGTCGCCCTGTAGGTCCTCAGGTTGACTCCGGGCGCAGCCTGAGAATCCGCCCTGAACCGGAAAGCAGCGGCCTGGGCGCACCGGGAAAGACCCTGGCTCTAAGGCGGAAGTGGGTGGGTCCTAACTGGCAGGGCTGTCTGGGGTGCCTGAGAACTGAGAGCCCCGCGGCAGGTGGGCTGGGGAACCGGGGGGCCCCACTGCTTAGGAGTGGGAGGGCCCCAGGTCCTCACTCAGGGTCCCTACTTTTGTGTCTTCAGAGCCTCGGCTTGACCCTCTAGTGACATGGGTGGTCCCGGCTGCACACCATCTGCTCTGTCCTGAGTTCCGGGTGGCAGTTCAGTGGACAGCTGCCTATGTTTGGCCTGGGCCTCGCAGGCCACACACTAGGGTAGGGCTTCAACAAGATACTGGGGTCGTGGGGGTGATCTTCTCCTTTAGCACTGAGGGTCCTTGCTTCATCTCGGTGCAAGATTCCTGTCTTTGCAATTATGGGTTTCAATCCTATAAGGCAAGGCCCTTCCGTCCCAGAGATCACCCCCCGAAGAAAGCGTGGACTCTCAGTGGTCGTTTTTCTGGCTTCCCCAAGGTCATGGAAAGTCCTGGTTTCTATGTGATCCCCCCGTTTTTTTTTTTTTTTTACGCTGCCCCTCATAATACTCAGGATACTCATATAGACAGATTCCTCTTAGAGATCCTGTCATTACCTCTTCCAGCCGAAAATGGTCTGCATTACACCAAGATTTGACCTCCCTGAGACTGTCCAGAGTCAAGTCAGCCTGACGTCTCTGCCACGTCTTTCCCGGGTGTGACAGCACCAATTTTGTGGGACCTCCTTTTCATGCTCTGGGTGCTACCCTTAGTCCATCCACTTCGGGATCCTTACTTTGACAGGTGAACAGTCCTGTAACTTTAGCCTTTGATTTCTTGACTCTGCTCATGTTACATTAATATCGCACTTTTCTGGGAATTCCAAGTTGGAAATGAAGGTCATCCTCATACGATCTTTGTCCTTCAAGGCTACCAAGGAGATCCAATAAGGGTGTGAGTCTAGGACTTCAGGTTCTGGCTTAGTCCCTTACTCCTCCCTAGGCAGGTTCCTCAGCATATGTTCCAGAGCCTTGGACTCCTTGTATGGAACTGAGATACCCTCCTTAATATTTTCTTTGATCCACTTAATTTGGCCTGATTGTTTCCTCACCTTTCAGCCATGGGAATCCTGAACTTGGCATCTGTCTCTTGGTTAGTGGCTTCCTGGGTGGTGGTGACTCCTCCCTGCTAGTACTTGAGCATTTGCCTAATTGCAAGCCTGCAGAAAATGGGTCCCCTCACCCAGCAATGTAGAGTTAGGAAACTGAAGTGCATATCAGAGCCCATGTGCTGTGCTGTCTGAGAAAAGAAAGCTGATACATTCTTTCTTTTCATGAGCCTGGCTTAGGGAGCATAGAAGGGTAGAGCTTGATGTGTGTGAGCCCTGACTGATGTTTTGACAGTATCTGATATTGCATATGTAGCTGATCATACTGTCGCTAAGCATGATCTCTCCTGTATTCCTATCTCTTATTTGTGTGTGTATTCTAACTGCTCTTGTTATGTAGTCCATCTAATGTTTTGGTCACAAGGTCCTCTCTTCCATCACCTAAGCTGTCCTTTGGGGTAGTAGAGATGGAGTCTAGGGCTTCTAGTCCCATTGCTTTCACCTAGTCCCTGTGTGTGAGTCGCAGGTTCTGCATTTGTCATGTGTTTTTTAAAGCCCTCTCTGGTAGGGTTCATGGGTGGTGTTCCATGTGTGTGAAAATGTGCATATTGCCTGGAATTCATTGAGATTTTACACAATATTTGTTATGTCTAAGATTATGATTATTTGAACTTCAGAAAATAACACTCAACTTAAAGGAATACAAAAATATTCAGTAGATATCAGCAAATATGTATCACTCTAGTACCTTGAATACCAAAATCTGTCCAGAAAGCTGTTAAGAAGAATCTGAGAGTACATTCTCCAGTCCCCCCATTAAATCCTATTTTGAGTGTAGGGGAGTTTTTCCAGCTGAATACTACTGTACTGTTCGAAACTTCGTTTCCAACACTCAGTTTCTTCCCACGTAGGTGATGTTTTTACACAAACCTTGCCTGTCTTCATTAATTCCACCATCCCCTAAAATGTACTCTTGTCTTACAGTCTGCGAAGGGACAGCAACAACAACAGCCACAATACAACAGAGCGATCATGAATGCCATTTTAATAGAATAGGCTCTGAGTCCCTAACTCACTGCCCAGTCTGTCTCATTGCTCGCTCCTTCGCCTGCTTTATGGGTCTGGCTGAGTGGTTCCACTGCTGTTTGACTTCTGTACAGTTCAATTTTCTGTGCTTTGATTGCATTTTTATTACTAAAGCTTCGTTGTATTTAAACTTGGTTGTGTGAGGAGGCACCGTGTTTCCTCCTACCTCTCCATCTTGGCCGGAAGTCCAAGACTGGCTGCTTTCTTTAACCACAAAGTGGAGACTCTGCCTCAGGCCTCACTAGGGATGGGAGGAGGTGTGAGACATGCCCTGCACAGTCAGCTGGCCATAGTTGCAGTAGAGGAGTCTGGGCTGCAGCTCTGACTCAGTGTGGATACACCACATCTTTTTCAATCAATCGATACATGAACATGTATATGTTTTTGTATGATTGAGTGTATGCCTAAGGGTAATTTTCAAAAGTGGAATACTGTGTCACTGGTAATTGAATACTTAGTCTTGTTGAATGTGGCCAAGTTTAAGTGAATATTTTGAAAATGTTTGCAACAATGTTCTTAAGTGATATGGGAAATAAGTAATGTTCTTAAGCAATACAATAATAAATTGATTTTCAGCTACTTTAAATTAGCGTATATTATGTTATGCTTGTTTTTTTCAAGCCCCACAGATGGTTTATATTACTGAAAAATGTATATGCCCTTTTTTCTTTAATTATTTTTCAAGTGCAGTTTTTTGCCTTTTATTTCCACCCCAGCCCACCCCCTGTGCTCCCCACCTCTCTCCCATTTCCACGCTCCTTAGCTGTTGTCCATGTGTCCTTTATACTAGTTCCTCTAAATCCCTCACCCTTTCCCCTTGTTATGCTTGCTTTATTAACAATTTTGGATGTTTTTGTCCTTGTCGTTGCGGTTCATTGGATTCAGTGACGGTCAGTGACCCTGAGGGACGTGGATTTGATTCCCAGTCAGGGCACATGTCTCAGTTGCAGATCAGTCTCCAGTGCGGGCCTTATGAGAGCCAGCCACAAATGGATGACTCCCTTTCCTCTCCCTCCCTTCCCTTCTCTCTAAAGATAAATAAATAAGGCCTTTGAAATTCTCTTGGAAGTTTTGGTTCACTTTGCATGCTCTGGATAATTTGTGTGATGAAATCAGAACATTTGCAGTCCTAAGAGTATAATGTAACCAGTGCTCTGGGTACTCCTTTGCCAGCTTCAGCAATATCAACACACGGCCAGTCTTTTCTCATCTGTCATCCTCAGACCTCAAGTTATTGTGAGGCACACAAAATAACAATGTTTATCATTTTATGTACCTTTAAAGGTTGAAGCTCTTAATTACAAACATAACTGAAATACCTCAATGACACAGGCAGTCCCAATTCCAAGATGACCTCCGGGATTCCTGAGTCCTGGTGCACAAACAACTTCTTCCACTTAATTCATCAGACACTAATCTGGATGGTGCTATGAGGAGTTTGGCAGATATAATGAAGGTCTGATATCTGTTATTCTTAAAATAAGAAGATTATCATCCATGACCCAGACCTAATGAAGTGAACCCTCAAATCAGATGGAACTTTTCTTGGTGAGGGAAACCCAAAGGGTGAGAGGGAGGTTCTCCTGCCTAGCTTTGAAGATGGAAGGTGCTGCATAGCATAGCAAAGCCCTAAGAGAGACCTGAGCATCATCTGTAGCCCGTAGCATGCACAAAATGGGAACCTTAGTGCTTCAATTCCTGGTAACTGAATTCTGCTCCCACCAAAATGCATGGATTGGAAGGAGGTCCTGAGCTCCACATGAGAAGAAAGCCACCAGGAACAATGATTGCAGAGTTATAAGACTTCTGAACTAGGAATCCCAGGGACTCCACACCCAATTCCTGTCTTATGGAACTGTGAGGAACTAAATGTATGTGGGTAGAATGTATGAAATCCTGGCATTTTGTCAAAAGTGAAGTATTTTAACATAGGCACTGAAAAAATTACCTACACTTTTCTTTTTTCCCTCTTTTAAAAAGATTTTATTTATATATAAAGACAGGAAGGGAAGGAGAAAGAGAGAAAGAGAAACAAACATCAATGTGTGGTTGCCTCCCCAGCACACCCAACTGGGATCCTGGCATGCAAACCAGGCCTGTGCCCTGGCTGGGAGTGAAACCCTCAACATTTTGGTTCACAGTCTGAAGCTCATTCCCCTGAACTACAGCAGCCACAGCTTTTTATTTCCTTGCATATAATTAGGTCATTTAGATATACTCTCTTGGCTATATTCACATCTAATACACTAGCGATAACTACTAGTAATCATCCTGTACATTGCATCCTCAGGAGCTATTAATTATATAATATAAAGTTTGCATCTTTGGCCACCATCACCAATTTCAACCACATTCCACCACCACCACCCAGTGGGAAAACATCAATATCTTCAATGTATGAGTTACTTTATCAGTGTGTGTTTCAAAGATTCCTCGCATAAGGGATACTACACAGTATTTGTCTCTGTCTTTTGAAAAGTTTTAATGAAGGAGCACCATTTGAAATTTACCCCTTCTTTCACCTAGCACGTGCTGTCCCCAATACCCGGGACTCATTCTCTTTTACCACTGATTGATGTATCTCTTTCCCTGAGTGGGTGAGTGTGTGTGTGTGGGAGTATCACCTTGCCTTCCCACATTCATTCATTAATGGTTACTGAGGTCGTTTCCATGTGGTGACTATTGTGAATACTGTGTTAGTGGACATGGGGGTACTTCCATCTCTTCACCTTAGGGATTCCGTTTACCTAAGTACTCCATGGTGGAATGGCCGCAGAACATGGTAGTTCAATTTTTAACTTTTTCAGGTATCTCTATACTATCTTCCTTAGTGGCTGCATCACTTTACTTTCCCCCAAACTCATTCATTTTTTTCCCCTAAACTCATTCATTTTTGAATCATCTAAGGATATCTATGTATGTAACTTTCAATGCTAAGAAAAGAAACATTGAGTGGAGTAAGGCAAAGCCATAATGGAGCAACTTTTACATTTTCCTACCACTCTAGGTTCTCATCAGATCTATTGTGTTTGAGTTTTTTTCCACATTACCAAATACAGCCCAAATGGAATGCCATACTGTCTTTTTCCAGATCACAAAAGTGATTTAAGGATTTTCAGGGTGAACTGGAAAAACCAAAACTCTCGCTCCTCCACCTGACACACAACAGTAAGTGTGTGATCCCTGCCACATCTAGGCTTCCGTTCTGAACCTAAATAGGGTTTCTCTTAGCAGAACACCCCTTGACAATGACCTCAAAGTAGGAGTCAGCGAGGTATGCATGCACATTAGGCATGCTGGCCAACAGGCATTTCCAACCACAATGTGAAGACTCCACCTCAGACCTCACTCAGGATGAGAGAAGCAACTGGATATGGCCCTGGGTCACTCCTTGTCCTCCCAATGGGAATGGATTCTGCTTAGCCACAAAGGCTAGGTAATATGCTATCTCCGCTCCCCCTTTACTTTTCACGTGTTCCTTATGAAGTAGACAATCTCACCTTCTTCAGTAATGACAGCTTCTCCTACAATCAGACTGCATGGGCAGAGGAAGTGTCTCTTTTGCCTAAACATTCCCAGGGTTGGCACGAGGACTTCCAAAGAGCTGATGCTCCATTAATGCGTGTGTCAAATAAAAGCCATGAACCAAGAGGTCTGATTCACTATCATTTATATTATCTAACATTTTTGAAAACATAAGCAAATCAGGTACATAGCTTTACAGGCTACAAAACAAAAGACTAAATACAGCAAGAAAAACAAGGAGTGACAAGTTTCATACATGTACCACATCTTCTATAGCCATTCATGTACAGGTGGGACATGTCCCTGTCTTGCCTTTAACAACCCAGCCAGGTATGGCACAGCTAATATTGTAAATAATACTGTAATAACAACATATGTTTCAGGTGGGTTGTAGACTCATGGGGGTGAACACCTTGTAAGTTATATAAATGTGTAATCACTATGTTTGTACCCCTGAACCTAAAATAATATTCTACATCTATTATAATCAAAAGTCGGGAAGTGGCCAACTTTTAGTTTATCTACCCTTTTATGTATCCATCTACTGTTGCCTCTTATGTTAGTATAATCTCCCTTTACATCGCTAAAGATATTCCTACCCTAAAGCGATGTTACCTTCTTCTGGATCACAAAAGTGATCGAAGGAGTCCCAATTTGTATTTCAATAAGACCACGCTTACTGCTAACCTGGTATATGGCAATACATGTGTCATCCCTGTCATTCTTAAACTTCCATTCTGAACCTAAAGAAACGTTCTGTTTAAAAGCACACCATGTGAAAACGCACAACACCCTCACAAAGGTTGCTAACAAGACTTTTTGCATACTAGGAAGCTGCTTAACAGGCCTCTCCAACCAAAGAGGGAACACTCCATCTCGACGTCACTCAGGCTGAGGGTAGTGGCTGGATGTGGCTCTGGCGTGACCACTGGCCTTGGAAGGACTGCTAGCCCTGGGTGCAGCTCGGGCTCTCTCTTCCTCATCTTTCAAAGCCTCTTCGTAATAGGCTGGGAAGGCAGTGGGGACGTTATCATTCATCTTGGCCACGAACTCCAGGATTTTCATCTTGCTGGTCTCAGCGTGGGCTCTTGGACCCCAGAGGAACTCGTAGCGTGGAGGATCGCTGTTGGCCACCTGCCGGTACACCAGGTATTCTTCCTGTACCAAATCTTGGGTGATAAGCTTCCTGGTATCTCCAAAAATGAAGTGAGACTTTCCATCATAGATGCCCATTATACTCAGGAATTTCCAGATCTCCTCCTCAGAGGTGCAGTTGCCATTCAGGAAGATCACACTCAGGAGAGGCATCAGAATCCCTTTTACAGGAAATCTCCAGGCTCTGCTCAGACTCTCATCGCTGGCGGCATCTTCATTCTGGACCAGGGTGTAGAAGTTACCATTGGGCTTGACTTCTTTCAATTCTAGACCATACACCAGATCCATGTGGTCTGAGGCCATCTTGAGAATCTCAGGAAAGTCCTTTCTGTACCATTTGTGGACTATCTTCAGCATGTCTGCCTTTCTAATGGGCTCCTTCATTTGATACTGAGTCAGAAGATAGTCTACCAAGTGACTTGCCTTCTGAGTGAGGATATCTAGGCCAAAGCTCTCAGGGGGAAGGTGAGGCCTGGGAGGAACTTCTACTTTTCCAAACTCGGCCTTTGGCTTTTCCAGCAGATCTTTTGCCTGAAACACCTGCAGCAGCACTGGTGCTGGCTGGGTCACTCGAAGGTGTCTGGAGAGGACCAGCACCAGTGGCACTTGAGGGAGCGTCTGCTAGAACTGAGGAGGAGGAGCAGGCGGCCTCTGCATCTTCTGTAGCGGCCTCAGCGCTCTGAAGACTTTGTGTCTCAGCTCTGTTTTGGCGGCGTTTCTCACGAGCACGGAGCTTACTCTTGTGACCACGAGGCATGATGGGTGTTTTTCAGGAAAGCCGACAAGAGTGTGGGCCAACAAAAAGGTGATCTGGGCACCTGGTGGATGACAGAGAGAGGACGTGAGCACCTTCGACAGGCACATTCCCCTCTGCTACTCTAACACTGACACCTCGACACTCCCTGGGACCCGGGCAAAGGGAGCCTCAGTCTACCTGCCTATCAGAGGACACTCAGTGCCGAGAGTTTGGTTGGCTCCTTTGTTTCCTGAGCTGGTGAGTATCATCAGTCGTCAGTCAAGCTCCTCAGTTTGCCTCCTTGTGAGGACCGGCACCTCTTCCTTCTCTTTAAATGGTGGCTAGACTTACAGACTAAGGATCTTAGCTCCCTTAGACATGGTATGGAGAGATGCAGGGGAAGCTCGCCCTGACCACCCATCTCTGAGCTATCCTGGGCCGATAGCTAAAGGTAGGGATGGAGGCTGTGATGTCCTCTTTTGGCGGGGCTGGTTGGTTGCTCAAGCCCTCTGTGTATTCCTCAATCGGACTCCTGGAGGAGAACTGCTCTTACGAAGTTGCAAACTCTGTGAGATGCAACAAGAGGATATGAAGTGGACCTTATGTAACCAAAGCACATCACCCAGGAGTGGGCGGGGGCTGTTGCATGCAGGTGAATTTCCCATCATCCCTGGTTCCAAGCAGAATCGCCATTCAAGTTCTAAATTTGTCTCCTCCTTAGGTTGTATTTTCTCTCTGATAATATGGGATGACCCCTCTCACTGCACGGTTTCCCTTCAGTGAAGGATGATGGGGAGTGCAGCCTGAGATCTATCCTACAGAGCTGCTAGCACTGGAAAAAGAAAGGACACTTTGAGGCCCTGCTGATACGGTGTAGCACATCGCCAAAGTCCACAATGGTCTTTCTGAGATACCCGGCACAATGTGACATCCTGCCACTCATGGGCGGAGATTGCCACTTTGACTCAATCTTGTCCCTCCAAGAGACAAGGGATACTCTGGGAAGAAGGTAGTGCAACTCATCATGGCGATTCAACCAATCTTCTAGGTCAGAAAAAACCCTGAGACTTCCGGTGGACCCCGCCCCCAACTTTCTGGGCACGCTCCACCATTCTCATCAGTTTCACACCCGTGAATCTCACCAGGGTCTCAGTCCCCTTTCCTCATTTGGACTTCCACCAATAAACCGAGGCTCATACCTCCCAGAGACCACCGCCAGAGGAAATGAGGAGCCAGCTCGGCCTCCAACCCAGGCTTCCTTTGCTGCGTTTGGTAGTTGATGGGTGCAGCCCGGGCTTCCCATAGTTACCGCTAGAGGGGAAAGTTACTATGCTTTATATCTGTTTCCTGTGTCTGGAGCCTGCTAGAGGTGAAGGTAGGGTTGCGGCCCTGTGAGGTCCACTTTTTTGGGCAAAGGTGGACTCTTAAGCACTCAGGCACTCATGCTGAAAGCAGTTCATACGTGCATGCCATCCGTCTGCAGAATCAGGGTACACCCACAGAGTACACACGGCCTTCTCACTAACATATTTGAAGCGGAATGCAGCCCGACGGCTCGCCTCCAGCCTCTCAGAGACCAAAGGCAGGCCCGGGTCGGGGTGGGCTCACCTACCCTCTTGGAGAGCTGTGGTTTCCTAAGGTCGCCCTGTAGGTCCTCAGGTTGACTCCGGGCGCAGCCTGAGAATCCGCCCTGAACCGGAAAGCAGCGGCCTGGGCGCATCGGGAAAGACCCTGGCTCTAAGGCGGAAGTGGGTGGGTCCTAACTGGCAGGGCTGTCTGGGGTGCCTGAGAACTGAGAGCCCCGCGGCAGGTGGGCTGGGGAACCGGGGGACCCCACTGCTTAGGAGTGGGAGGGCCCCAGGTCCTCACTCAGGGTCCCTACTTTTGTGTCTTCAGAGCCTCGGCTTGACCCTCTAGTGACATGGGTGGTCCCTGGCTGCACACCAACTGCTCTGTCCTGAGTTCCAGGTGGCAGTTCAGTGGACAGCTTCCGATGTATGGCCTGGGCCTCGCAGGCCAGACACTAGTGTAGGGCTTCAACAAGATACTGGGGTCGTGGGGGTGATCTTCTCCTTTAGCACTGAGTGTCCTTGCCTCCTCTCGGTGCAAGATTCCTGTCTTTGCAATTCTGGGCTTCGATCCTGTTTAGAAAGGCCATTCCCTCCCAGAGATCACCCCCATAGAAAACTTGGACTCTCAGTGGTCGTTTTTCTGGCTTCCCCAAGGTCATGGAAAGTCCTGGTTTCTATGTGATCCCCCGGTTTTTTTTTTTTTACGCTGCCCCTCATAATACTCAGGATACTCATATAGACAGATTCTTGTTAGAGACCCTGTCATTCCCTGTAACCGACGAAACTGATCTACATTGTACCGAGACGCTCACCTCCCTGAGACTGTCAGGACTCAAGTCAGCCTGACATCGGTGCCACGGCTTTCACGGGTGTGACAGCACCAATTTTGTGGGACCTCCTTTTCATGCTCTGGGTGCTACCCTTAGTCCACTTCGGGATCCTTACTTTGACAGGTGAACAGCCCTGTAACTTTAGCCTTTGATTTCTTGACTCTGCTCTTGTTACATTAATATCGCAGTTTTCTGTGAATTCCAAGTTGGAAATGAAGGTCATCCTTATGCGATCTTTGTCCTTCAAGGCTTCCAAGGAGATCCAATAAGGGTGTGAGTCTACGACTTCAGGTTCTGGCTTAGTCCCTTACTCCTCCCTAGGCAGGCTCCTCAGCATATGTTCCAGAGCCTTGGACTCCTTGTATGGAACTGAGATACCCTCCTTAATATTTTCTTTGATCTACTTAATTTGGCCTGATTGTTTCCTCACCTGTCAGCCATGGGAATCCTGAACTTGGCACCTGTCTCTTGATTAGTGGCTTCCTGGGTGGTGACACCTCCCTGCTAGTACTTGAGCATTTGCCTTATTGCAAACCTGCAGAAAATGGGTCCCCTCACCCAGCAATGTAGAGTTAGGAAACTGCAGTACATATCACAGCCCATGTGCTGTACATTCTTTCTTTTCATGAGCCTGGCTGACGGAGCATAGAGAATAGAGCCTGGTGTTGTGAGTCCTGACAAATGTTTTGACAGTATCTGATATTGCATATGTAGCTGATCATACTGTCGCTTATCATGATCTCTCCTGTATTCCTATCTCTTATTTGTGTGTGTATTCTAACTGCTCTTATTATGTAGTCCATCTAATGTTTTGGTCACAAGGTCCTCTCTTCTATCACCTAAGCTGTCCTTTGGGGTAGTAGATATGCAGTCTTTGGGTTCTAGTCCCATTGCTTTCACCTAGTCCCTGTGTGTGAGTTGCAGGTTCTGCATTTGTCATGTGTTTTTTAAAGCCCTCTCTGGTAGGGTTCATGGGTGATGTTCTATGTGTGTGAAAATGTGCATATTGCCTGGAATTCATGGAGATTCTGTACAATATTGGTTATGTCTATGATTATGATTATTTCGACCACAGAAAATAACACTCACTTTAAAGGAATATGAAAGTAGATGTCAGCAAATATGTATCATTCTAGTACCTGGAATACCAAAATCTGTCTAGAAAGTTGTTCTAAAGAATTCGTGAGTAAATTCTCCCACCTCATTAAATCATATATTAAGGGTACGGGAGATTTTCCAGCTGAATACTACTCTACTGTTCAAAACTTTGTTTTCAGCAGTCAGTTTCTTCCCAGGGAGGTGATGGTTTTACACAAACCTCGCCTGTCTTCATTAATTCCACCATCCTTTAAAATGTACTCTTACCTTACAATCTGCCATGGAACAGCAACAACAACAGCAACAATACAACAGGGCGATCATGAATGCCATTTTAATAGAATAGGCTCTGAGTCCCTAAGTCACTACCCAGTCTGTCTCATTGCTCTCTCCTTCGCCTGCTTTATGGGTCTGGCTGAGTGGTTCCACTGCTGTTTGACTTTTGTACAGTTCAATTTTCTGTGCTTTGATTGCATTTTTATTACTAAAACTTAGTTGTATTTAAACTTGGTTGTGTGAGGAGGCACCGTGTTTCCTCCTACCTCTCCATCTTGGCCGGAAGTCCAAGACTGGCTGCTTTCTTTAACCACAAAGTGGAGACTCTGCCTCAGGCCTCATTAGGGATGGGAGGAGGTGCGAGACATGCCCTGCACAGTCAGCTGGCCATAGTTGCAGTAGAGGAGTCTGGGCTGCAGCTCTGACTCAGTGTGGATACACCACATCTTTTTCAATCAATCGATACATGAACATGTATATGTTTTTCTATGATTGAGTGTATGCCTTAAGGGTAATTTTCTTTTTTTAAAAATTTTATTTAGTGATTTTTCAAGTACAGTTTTTTGTCTATTTTTCCCATCCGAGCCTCCCCCGCCCCTTCTTAAGGGTAATTTTCAAAAGTGGAATACTGTGTCACTGGTAATTGAATACTTAGTCTTGTTGAATGTGGTCAGGTTTAAGTGAATATTTTGAAAATGTTTGCAACAATGTTCTTAAGTGATATGGGAAATAAGTAATGTTCTTAAGCAATACAATAATAAATTGATTTTCAGCTACTTTAAATTAGCGTATATTATGTTATGCTTGTTTTTTTTCAAGCCCTACAGGAGGTTTATATTACTGAAAAATGTATATGCCCTTTTTTCTTTTTTTTTTCTTTTTTTAAATTTTTTTTATTGATTATGCTGTTACAGTTGTTCTATTCCCCCTTTATTCCCCTCCACCCTACCCCCATCCCCACCATCACCCCCCCTTTAGTTTATGACCATGTGTCTCAAGTCCTTTAGATTCTATATTTCCCATGCTATTCTTCCCCCCCCCCATCTATTTTCTATCTACTGTCTATGCTACTTATTTTCTGTACCTTCTCCCCCCTTCTCCTCCTCCCACTCCCCTGTTGCTAACCCTCCTTGAGATCTTCATTTCTATGTTTCCACTCCTGATCTAGCTGTCCTTTTAGTTTGCTTTCGTTTTAGGTGTGGTTGTTAATAACTGTGAGTTTGTTGTCCTTTCACTGTTCATGTTT